TTAAGAGTACGTAAATCTAGTAAGTATTTGATGTAAGCAAGTAAGATGTACAAAATAGTATGTAAAACATATTTACCAGGGAATCGATGCTGGTTAGAGAAAACATCATATCCATTTGAATTGGTTCTTCATGGTTGTGAACGGGGCGAACGTATCTGTCATATCCATCAAAGATCAGCTTTTTGACCTGTTTGATGTCCTCCGGGCTAGCACCCCTGACTGGAACAAAGTACTCACATCACTGTGAGCATATACATACCATGCAAAGTCGAGAAAGATGCAGGATTTCATTACAAGGTGAGGCCAGACATGACTGGTTCGTGATGAGAGAAAGTGAGACATCATTAACAGCTGATTTATTGTTTGTTGTTTAACGCCAACTCGGCAATATTCCAACTATATGCCGGCGGTATTTAAAAGTTGAATTTAATAATTTAATCTGGATAAGGCAGTCCAGTGATTGACATCATGAGCATCGGTCCACGCAATGGAATACGATGACATGCAATCAACCAAGAACAGACCGCCCGAAATTCATTTAGTCACCTCTTACGACATAGGTTGATGGGGATCTATCTTCTAACCCGGAGGGGGGCACTGGTGGCCCAGTCGTCTAAGGCGCCGCGATTCGCTGTGCAGAGTTGCGTCCCTTGGGCGCGCCAGAAACCTATGATTGTGGGTTCGAATCCCGGTTCGCCCCAGTTATGTTTCTAGGTTTGTCAGCACCATATCCGTGCTCGTGGGTTTTACCGAAGTGGTAAACGTCTGAGACCTGCATCACTTCGGGCTTTCCTCCCACATTAGCTGACACGCCGTGATATAACTGCAATAATGTTAAAAGCGGCGTTAAACTCAACTCACTCACTCACTCTAACCCGGAATCATAATTGGCTTTTAGAGCTGAAAGTTTAGTCCTCCTCACATGACAGGTAACATTGTGATACTTAAGGCAAAAGGATGTTTGAACGTTTTGAATCAATGTTACTATCTGCCAAATGGCGTTGCAGTCAACTATGACCCATCTGCGTTCAAATGGTTCTACAACGAACAGTGCATATCCAGTGGGTGCGATAACATATAGTATACGAGTATATGATCATTAATAAAGAAATATCCATCAAGAGATTTCGTTATAAACAGGGTTGACTATGATCTATGTTTTTGTACACACCTATGAATTTTAATACATGATAGGGAATACTTACCACATAAACTTTGTAAGCCGGAAAACAGGCAGGCTAGAAGAAGGCGCCCCATTTGCATCGTGTCCTATTTGGTATCCGTTTCCATGAGATACTATAACGATCTTAATAACATGAATAATGAAGGGTGTTTGGGATCAATGCATCAAACAACGTATTTTCTATCAGGTGAACATTCTTCTTCGGTTCACTCTTGTGATAGGCTTTTGATTTTTCACTTTTGTTTGCACCTTGTCTGTTGTGACGGTATCCAAAACACATTGCCTCCTTCTATTGATCACGCAGCGCGAGCATTACTGTCACCGCACTATAATCATTCGCACTGAACATACACCAGTGTTTCCAATGAATCCACAGAAACCAATTAAAACACCACTGAACATACATAGAACTGTTATAAACGTCCTTTATATAATTCCTTATGTTTGTCACTCATTTAGTTTTGTTTGTTATACACAAATAATCTGGCTGTATTGCCTTCCAAATTTAAAAGATCATAATTTATAACAACGTACCATATATTGATCTATCCATCAATTTGTTGCAGTCGTAAGTTGACCCTTACGCGAATTATTCCCCTTGGTTGGTTGGTTGGTTGTTTTACGCCGCAGTCAGCAATATTCCAGCTATATGACGACGGTCTGTAAATTACGAAAGCCTATTAGGGCCAAATTCATTGATAACATTTTTTTATTTAAAAGTTGTAATTACAAGTTGTAAAGTTGTAATTACAAGTTGTAAAGGTGTAATTACAAGTTGTAAAGGTGTATTTACAAGTTATAAAGTTGTAATTACAAGTTAAAAAGGTGTAATTACGACTTATAAAAAGTTGTAGTTACATGTTTTTAAGGTGTAATTAGAAGTTTAAAAGATGAAAATACAAGTTTTTAAAGGTGTATTAACTAGATTTAAAGGCGTAATTACAAGTTTAGAAATGGAAATATCAAGTTTTGAAAGGTGTAATTACAGGTTTGAAAAGGTGTAATTATGAGTTAGAAATGTGAAATTTCACTGAATGATCGAAACATTTGAAGTTCTGTAATTACACCTTTAGAAACTTGTAATAACACCTTTACAAGTTGTAATTACACCTTTAGAAACTTGTAATAACCCCTTTACAAGTTGAAATTACACCTTTACAACTTGTAATTACAACTTTACAACTTGTAATTACAACTTTTAAATAAAAAATGTTATCAATGAATTTGGCCCTAATAGGCTTTCGTACTAATAGGCTTTCGTAGTAAAAAATCAAGTCTGGACCAGACAATCCAGTAATCGATATCATGAGCACGCAATTGGGGATCGATGACATGTATCAACCAAGAGAGCGAACCTGACCACCCGATCCCGTTAGTCGTCTCTTACAAAAAGCATAAAGTCGTTTTTTCGGGCAAGCATTGGTAGCTGAAGACATATTCTACCCTCGATCTTCACGGAGCGGGTACAATATGCAAACCCCATTTCTTCATCATATGGCTGGAATAATTCCTACAACCCCACTCCCACACACACCCGGTCATGGGAAATTGCAATGTATTGAGACCCGGGGTAGAATAGGTCTTCAGCAACCCATGCTTGCTGCATAAGGCGACTATGCTTGTCGTAAAAGGCGACTAACGGGATCGGGTGGTCAGGCTCGCTGACTTTGTCACATATAATCATATCCCAATTACGTTGATCGATGCTCATGATGTCAATCACTGAATTGTCTGGTCCAGACTCTATTATTTAGACCGCAGTCATATAGCTGGAAAATTGCGGAGTGCGGCGTTAAACAGCAAACGAACAAACAAATCAATGTATTGCAATCATTACTCGCCTATTCGTTGTCATTTGAAAAAAGATATCCGAATATGACGGAAACAACTACCGCAAAAAACATGAAGAGCACAAAACATATCTTGTCCATTCTACGAGCTAATGTTACCCAATGGCCACTGTTAAGTGGCATTTCCTGTGAATTCAACTTTGTTAGTGACTTCATCATATCGAAGTAAACAGGAACATTGTTTTCTGGGTTCTTTTCCTGTTCGTCGGTGTTCTTTGTTTTCACAACAAGCTTTGGAACTACGTGCTCAAAGGTTGTTGGGAGGCTGTGAATACATATGATAATTCCATTGGCAACGACTGTCAGAATGCTTAACATTGTTTGGATGGAAGCATACATCACTGAAAGAGAAGAGTAGATATTTGAATGAATTATGTTGACAATGAATTCATATACGGAAACCTGAGGCAAAATTACACTTTTGTCCAAAAGTTTATTGCTTGTTGTTTACTGCACTCGGCAGTGTGTGTGTGTGTGTGTTAGTGTGTGTTAGTGTGTGTGTGTGTGTGCGTGCGTGCGCGCGCGTTAGTGTGTGTGAGTGTGTGTTAGTGTGTTAGTGTGTGTGTGTGTGTATGTGTGTGTCTGTGTGTGTGTGTGTGTGTGTCTGTACACTCGTCAAAAAAAGAAACGCACAGGTAGTATGTTGGTTGGTTGGCTTGTTGTTTTACGCCATACTCAGCAATATTCCAACTATATCACGCTGGTCTGTAAATAATAGTGTCTGGACCAGACAATCCAGTGGTTAATATCATGAGCATCGATCTACGCAATTGGGATACGATAACGTGTCAACCAAGTCAGAGAGCCTGACCACCCGATCCCGTTAGACGCCTCTTACGACAAGCATAGTCAGTCACCTTTTAAGGCAAGCATGGGTTGCTGAAGACCTATTCTAATCCGGATATTCACTGGTCGATTGGACATTGTGTTATAAGGGAAATAATTAACAGCTGATTGACTGATTGACAAGCATGAATTGCTGAAGACCTATTCTTCACCGGATCTTCACGGGTTTTCACCAAAAGCTAAGTGTAGCTACGTAACTTTCCAAATGCAAGTCTAGATGTGGATCGGTTTGTGTAGTATTTGATGACGTGTATCAATCATGTATCAATATGTAACTACAATTTTGAACGATGGCATGTTTACATAGTTTGGACATATTTGAATTAGTCTCGAGTGAGTCAGTGAGTGTGGTTTTACGCCGCTTTTAGCAATATTCCAGCAACATCACGGCGGGGGACACCAGCAATGGGCTTCACACATTGTACCCATGTCGGGAATCGAACCCGGGTCTTCGGCGTGACAAGCTAACGCTTTAACCACTAGGCTACCCGACCGCCCCGAATTAATCGTGAATATCAAACGATAACTTGATACATAAGGTTAAAAATAGAAAGAATATAGTAAATGATAACTCGATACATAAGGTTAAAAAATAAAAAGAATCTAGTAAATGATAACTTTATACATAATACATAATATTAAATATACAGTTTTTTAGTTTGTTGTTTTACGCCGCACTCAGCAATATTCCAGCTATATGACGGCTGTCTGTAAAAATCGAGCCTGGACCAGACAATCCAGTGATTGATATCATGAGCATCGATCCAAGCAATTGGGATTGATGACATGCATTAACCAGGTCAGCGAGCCTGACCACCCGATCCCGTTAGTCGCCTTTTACGACAAGCATAGTCGCCTTTTACGGCAAGCATGGGTTATTAAATATATACAAAGAATCTAGAATCTAGAATTCATAGTAATCTAGATGCATCTGAAACGATGATAGACATACCCATCAATGAGACAGTATCGGACAACTTCGGCATCGCGTCGTTCATTGACCCAATGAATACCAAGTATGACAAGACCACAGTTATTGACAGAGTTATCTTCTCCCCACTGGCAACAGGCACAAGGAAGCTGATTGGACAGAGCAGAGGAAAGGTCACCATTGGAAATACCATGACCATCCAATAGAACGTAGGACGTCTGCAGAGCACAACAGAGAATCTTATCTCCACCACGTCATCGTCCACGAAGTCAACCTTATGTTGATTCACCTGGACGGATGAACCTTCAACAGTGAACTCTCCGTGTGGCTTAAAAGCTGACATGTCGATATTATTCAGGGGACTGGTAGTGGTCAAGAACCTGCTTGTTGTCATCCAGGGAAGAAATTCAAAGGAACAGGTCTGGGTGTCAAACGGGTACTTTCTGATGTCAATTTTGCAACTTGTTTCACCAACTAGCCTTGGTTCCCAAGTTACTAATCCACTGCTTCGGATAAAAACGAGAGTGTCTGAGGTTCCCAAAACACTTGTCGCGGAAACACTGGAGAAGAAAAGTGTAGCGTTATGCCTGTAAGCGATTATTGAACATTTCACGTTTCTTAAACGTCACACCCAGCAATAATCAACTACATGAAAAAATCGAGTTTGGACCAGACAACCCAGTCATAGATATGCTGGTTGGTTGGTTGGTTTGTTGTTTAACGCCGCACTCAGCAATATTTCAGCTATATGACGGCGGGTTGTAATTAAACGAGTCTGGACCAGACCATCCAGTGATTGATATTATGAGCATCGATCCACGCAATTGGGATCGATGACATGTATCAACCAAGTCGGCGTGCCTGACCAACCGATCACGTTAGTCGCCTCTTACGACAAGCATAGTCGCCTTTTACGGCAAGCATGGGTTGCTGAAGACCTATTCTACCCCGGATGGTATTTGCTGAGTATTCATTAATATTGGCTAGCTTTGTGCACAACCACCAGTAGCTAAAGTGATGACGTAAATCATGCTGGGGTAACATGCAGGATGCAGAGGTACTCAAAGTCAGTCCCCATGATCCCCAGCGAGGTGGCCTGTAGCCCGTGTTTTAAACGGTATTAATGATATTGTTATACGTGTTTTATAAAATGTGTTTTTCAATATATATTTGCAATCATAACTCAATTGTGAATATATACTCTTCAAAAAGAGAAACGCAAAAGTGGAGTGGAGTTGCTCGTACTGCACGTGCAGCAGCACTATGAACGGTATTCAAGTGCAGGGTTTTTGATTGCCTGGCATCTGCGTCAATCGAACGCTGACAGTTGAACAACATGCCAAGATTAATAGGAGTGCAAAGAAACAACGTCATAGGGCAGGGGAATCCCGATCAGCTGTAGCCAGGGTTTTCAATGTAGCGCCAAGCGCCAAGCACCATCACAAGGCTATGGGATCGGTTTCATCGGCATGGGTCAACACGTGATCGGCCAAGGTCGGGAAGACCAAGAGTAACCATGACTGCCCATTATCGCTACATCTGACCGCGCCACCTACGTTTTTCAGGAACATCACAGCCACCTAAACCGCATCCCAAATACCCGGACTGCGCAGAATCTCCGACCAGACCGTACGAAACCGTTTAAGAGCAGCATGTCTTCGAGAAAGACGTACTGTTCGAGATATGGAAATTCTCCTACCACACTTTCTCCCTATTGCAGCCAACGGCAACGGTGTATTCCATTTATTCCAGAAGGACAACGTTCGGCCGCATACAGCACGGATTACAAGAGCCTGTCTACACAACAACAACGTTGATGTTCTCCCCCGGCCCTCCAGATCCCCGGATTTGAACCCGACAGAGTACCTGTGGGATGAATTGAATAGACGGCCACGCCGACGTCAAACACAACCCCAGACGTTGCAGCAGTTGGATTTTGCGTTGCAGGCCGAGTGGGCTACCATTCCCCAGGATGTGATTCGCATACTCGTCTCTTCCGATGGGCAGGATGTGTCAGGCCGCTATCGATTCCAACAGGCAACAAACGCGTCATTGACGGTAGCTGACCTTGGCCTTGGACTTTGCCTATGTACCGATAACTGAGATGACTACAATCACCAACTGTTCTCTCCACAACATTTTGGCTCAAAACCTTGTACGGTTCCTCGTATAAATGTTTTTTTAACCTCACAATATCTGGCCTTGCTTTTCTTTTTTTGCAGAGTATATTATCTGGGTCTCGTCGCTATATGGCTGAAATAATGCCGATGCAACGTTAAATTTTAACTCACTCACGCGTTAGTTTACGGAGGTCTGGTCACCTTCGGTTTACCTGTATGTTACTATACATGATGTAATATTTCATCAGAACAAACTCACATACACACAACAATATAATTTCGCACGAGCTCTCAAGCCCGCGCAAAACTGTTCATGTTGAAGGTGTCCCGAGGCTAAGGAAGATTATTTACAGGTGAGACGGCGACATATATATTGTACAAACCTTAAAGTAACTTGTCATTGTCTACCCTTTTCTGCAACTTTTTGCCTGGTTTCAAACTAGAAGCTATCGCCAAGTCAGGCTCATGCAAAGGTAACATGTTCTCATTCAATAATTGGTCGTTGTTTCGCTAAACTATAATGTATTTTCTAGATTCGTTTGCACATACTCATTGCCGATGGTGTAATCGGGAAGCCAGATCGTTGTCTGTGGCACGAGAATCATGTCGATACCTCCATACTGGCTGGCATTCCATGTAAGCAGCTTATCATGCCATTTCTGAATGTAAAAAAGGTGTTTCAATAACGTAATATTTGTTTGTTTGTTTGTTGTTTAACGCCGCACTCGGCAATATTCCAGCGATATGACGGCGGTCTGTAAATAATCGAGTCTTGACCAGACATCCGGTGACTGATATCATGAACATCGATCTACGCAATCCGTTAGTCGCCTCTACCCTGGATCTTCACGGGTCCCACGCATCAACCAAGTCAGCGAGCCTGAACACCCTATCTCGTTAGTCGCCTCTTACGACAGGCATAATCGCCAGACGGCGGTCTGTAAATAATCGAGTCTGGATCAGTGATTGACATCATGAGCATCGATCCACGCTATTGGGATCGATGATATGCATCAACCAAGTCAGCGAATCTGACCATCCGATCCTGTTAGTCGCCTCTTACGACAAGCATAGTCGATTTTTTTGGCGAGCATGGGTTGCTGAAGACCTATTCTACCCCGGATCTTCACGGGTCTCATATAATGTAATTGGACAAGAACCAGTAATAATACAATCAACGTCCCAAGCCATCCGTCAGGGGATTATACCATGCAATCATTCACTGTGTCTGACCACCCGTTAGTTAGGATCCATTACCACCTTGTAACATAACAGATATTTCATTGAATAATTTGTTTGTTGTTTAACGCCACACTCAGCAATATTTCAGGTATATGACGATTTAGTCTGTACCAGAGAATACAGTGATTGACTCCAAGAGCATCAGTCCATACAATAGCATAGGCTACAGTACAAACAATCAACCATGTCACCGTCACTGACCGCCCGATACATGAACTGACGTCTAACGGTTTGGTTTGGTTTGGTTTGTTGTTGTTTAACTCCGCACTCAGCAATATTCCAGCTATATGACGGCGGTCTGTAAATAATCGAGACTGGACCAGACAATCCAGTGATTGACATCATGAGCATCGATCCACGCATTTGGGATCGATGACCTGTATCAACCAAGTCAGGGAGCCTGACCACCCGATCCCGTTAGTCGCCTTTTACGACAAGCATAGTCGTCTTTTACGACAAGCATAGTCGCCTTTTACGACAAGCATAGACGCCTTTTACGACAAGCATAGTCGCCTTTTACGACAAGCATAGTCACCTTTTACGGCAAGCATGGGACGTCTCACGACAAGCATCGGTTGATTGCATACCGTAGTATCTCAATATTGCGTGGTTCGATGTTCAAGACACACACACACACACACACACAGAGGACACACCATTATGAGCCAACCGTGCCATTGGATTTTCTGACTCTTCAGATCCTGAAAGTGAAAAAAATATTAGACATTGGTTTTATTAATATGGAACAGCTAATTCAAAGTGAATTCGTTTCATTATTAATTTGATTACAGAATTATTAAATATTCTGTCAATAATTTTGTTTACCGCCAATGGCATTTTTGGAACGGTTACAACGATTAATGTAGTCTCATTTTACAAATATTTTGGTACTTGATGTTTAACGCCACAATCAGCAATATTCCAGCTATATGTGTCACGGCGGCCTGAAATAATTCAGTCTGGTCCAGGCTGTCCAATGATTGTCGACATGAGCATCAATCTTCGCATTTCGAATGCAGTAATTAAGTTAGTTTGTTAATTGTTGTTAAACGCCGCACTCAGTTATATGCCCCTATATGACGGCGGTCTGTAATTAATCTAGTCTGAACGAGACTATCCAGTGATTGACATCATGAGCATTGATCCACGCAATTGGGATACGATGACATGCATCAACCAAGTCATCGAGCCTGACCACCCGATCCCGTCAGTCGCCTCGTACGGCAAGCATAATCGCCCAGTACGGCAAGCATGGGTTGCTAAAGACCTAATTAACAAAGTCACCGAGTCCGTCTACCCGATCCATTTAGTCGTCTCTTAAGACAAACATTGGTTGCTGGGGGGCCAGGAATAACCACGCAGCTTGTCAAGAAAATACATCATGACACCTGATATTTAAAAATTGTCCATAAATATTGAAGAGACCGACCATTTGATATTCTCGTGGAGCCTGGAAATCTGTTAGAGTTACCGATATAGGATATTTTCGGTCACTGATTGAGGTCATACCACATAAATCTCTGAAAATGAAAACAAGTGGATCGATGCTCATGTTGACTATCACTGGATTGTCTGGTCCACACTCGCTTATTTACAGAGACTGCCGTCATATAGCTGGAATATTGCAGTGCGGCGGCAAACATCAAACAAACATAATGCCAATATTTTTATAGCTTTAGAGTATCACATTATGACACAGTAATATTACCAGGTTTTCGATGCTGACAAGGGTAAAAGTCAAATTGATATGTATTGCCTCGTCTTGGTCGTGTGTAGGACGAGTGTGTCGATCATAAGCACCAAAGAGGTCCTCCTTCAACTGTTTGAGGTGATGCAGAGTAGCCCCTACATAAAATAAACACAAGCGTATAGTCGACGAAGTCATCTATATCCCCCGCCATTTTAACACTTTATGGTCCAAAACGAGGTAACTGATCCAACATTTCTCTTAGGCCATGTCAAAATAGCTGCAATGGAAATT